TTGAATTCATTACCCCTTTATCTCCCAAGGTCTTATTCCTTTACCCTCTCGTAGCATTCCTCACTGAGGGATTTCACTAAAATATTAAATAACCATCTTTCACAATCATCAATCACACAATTTCTGATCCAATTAAATTTCTCATGAGAACATGTTCACTGTAAAGTATCCATCAAAGCCAAATCATCATTGAAATTTCCGAGGAACTACTGTGTACAAGTTTAGTGAATTCAACACATTGGACAAGCATTGAAGTGAATGACCATTGGAACCAGATCAGAACGAATTTCTAATTGTACTCCAAAAACAATTTGCACCTAAGTTGTTTCTTATCTTCAACGACCTTGGTGTTATCAGTTCCCAACTAGACATTTGTGCCGATGAGACTTATTTACTCCTATCTTGAGTCCGATAGGTCTGACAAAGTAAAATTGGCAGCTGTTCTCAAAAACGACCTCCAATCAGTTAACCAGAGCAAAGAAAGGCTTGCATATTTTAATGCCTCCAAAATTAGAAATCATAGAAAATTTAATCACCACAAAAAATCATTTTTGCTTTCTATCAGCATATGGCTGATGCTAACCTCAACTCATCGCACCTTCTTCACCTCACGTTTTCCATTGACATGAATTGGAATGATTATATTGAATCGGTTGTTAGGCTTGCTACAAGGAAAGTTGGTTCATTTTCTTTCACTCTCAGTAACCCCATGTAACTTAGTGGCTTTATTGCCTTGCTTGGGGGTGAAATGAAAAAGTGATAGACATAAATAGACAGAGACATGAATAAACTAAATGTTGGCAAAATCAATGAAGGAAAAATTGAAGTTTATAGAATGTCAAAGGATCCATATTAATATTGAAAATAAGATTTATTCATGCATGAGTGTCTTGGTCAAATATGTTTATATGGTCTATATCTGTTTTTGTAAAAATGTTTGCCTGCTACAAGAAAAATTGGTTTATTTTAAAATGTTAGACAATTTCTCTTGCCAGAATCTATCTTAGACATTTATAAATCTTTCATCCCTGCAGTGAATATTGCTATCATATCTGGTTTGGTGTTTCTGCTAGTCATTGAAATTTGACATAATACAAAAACCTGTTCGTAAGTTTTATTCTAATCATTTTTCTCACTTGTAGAATTCTTTTGGTTTCCTGCTTCTCTGCCAACAACAATGTTCAATAATTTAAATGCAGTATTAATTGCAATCTTCTATCTTCCTAGACTGTTCTTTTATTGTCCTTTCTCTTTAGGCCTTCCGTTCTTTTTCATTCCCAGTAACCCATGGCATCTTGATTGCATTATCGCCTTGCTTGAGATGAAATGATTTAAAAAAAAAAATCTACAGGTAGCCATTTAAACAACAACAACAAAAAAATGATACAGCATTTTAATTTCACCTATCACAAAATTCAGTCTCGGTTTCAAACAGTATACTTTTCGAATTGCATTTTCACCTAATTTAGACCAGCATACTCATCTTTGTAATACTGTCAATTTTTTTTGACATTACATGTTGCCATTCTTTGTGTGCATATCAATTATCACCTAAAAATGGAAAGCACAGAGAATCCTTGTGTATTTCACTGCCTTTTCAAAGTTTTCTGTAAAAATTCAACAAGGTTCCAGTGTTTCCATTTTTAGGTGATAATTGATATTCACCTTTGTGTCTCAATTAACCAAAATATAGATCAAAGTATTGAACATAAAATGCTTCTAAATATGGTGGAAATGCAAAAGTATGCACAGCCTGTTAAATTTTCTTTATTATAATACAGTGCAACCTCTATTCTCGAACGTCTCACGTGTCGAACAGAAAATTCGAGATAAAAATGCTTCGATTATCGAACAAAATTTCTGTTCTCGAACAATACTGCCGAACCGAGTTGACCTGATCGGAATAATTTCTGAGTCGACCGCCATGTTTATACATTCGCGTATTGTGCTTTTGTTTTTTCAATTTTATTGCACTGTGACTTTTTCTCCACATTGATTCCTTTTGGAAAAATAGTTTCGGTTTACGAAAGGCCTTCAGGAACGAATTTGTGAACCGAGGTACCGCTGTAAATGAAAAACCAACACAAAAGTTCTGTACAGTAAGTAAAAATGATGGCTTTAGCAAGTATTAAACTCACTAGTCAACCGTAATAGTTTTTCAAATTTCCAAAATGAAGCATGTTATCAATATTTTTTATCAGTATTTCACCAAAATAGACTTATCCGGCTAGGAAGAACAGAATTTTATAACCCTAAAAAATTGGCCGCTCAAATACGTGGATCAGGCCCGATTGGTTAAAGTAAATTAATAAACTTGACCATATCAAGTATTTATATTCCAACTCCTCTTCCAGTTTGTAAGAGTTACGGTATTTTTTTTTTCTAATATCCCAAATTTCCTTTTTTATTTTGACAAAATCCGTGCAAAAAGAGAAAGAACAAAGTCAAAATAACATTCTTAAAATTTAAACTTAAATTTAGTAAAAAATAATTAACCGGGTGTTAATTCTTGAAAAAAAAGAAAAAAAACTTCCGGAGAAGTTCGCGCGTAAACTTCCGGAAAATATCAATTTATATTCCCGTTGAGTCCTAACATCTTAAGGGTGTGCTTTTTTTTTTCTTTTTTTTTTTAATATGTCGTAAATACTGAAATTCACAAAAAGGTCGCAACAACGAGTACAGTTTTTTCTCTGCTTATCTCTATTCTTCAACATTGTATAGGTTGAATATCCTTTTTCCGAAATGCCAAAATTCGAAAAATTTTTTTTTTAAGCGTTAACATTGCTTGCCACAAATGGAAAATTTCAGAAAACCCAGTTACGTACCCTACGTTGGCGCCAATTTTTTTGTTAGCAATCGTCACAGCAGCACTTTCGTTAGTGGATTACTTACCACGTGTTTCATATTCAGTAAAGATATTCAAAATACCCCCCCCCCCGAAAAAAAAAAAAATTTATCTGCATTTATATATACTTTGTAAGTAATTTTCATGTTTTTTTGTAGAAGTACAAAATTATTTTTACTTGAAATCTTAATTTCACAACTTAAAATAAAAATCCATGTGAGCATTACATGACTAGCGTCATTACCGGTACGTAAATTATCGGAAAAATAATAACGAACTTACCTTCACGGACCCTGTTAATAGTAGTAGAAAAAGAAACAAAAAAAAAACACCAGCTTTCCTTGTGATCGTTTTTATTTTCCTCGTCATGCAAATTTGGGGTACCATGTGACTTACGAGGGTCACGTGACACATTTTGTTATCGTATTAAAAGCAGTCTTTTTGCCGCCATTTTTTTTAGCGCTTTTTTTTCCATTGGAGTCACTACTTCTATCTATACGGTGGTTTTTCTAACCTGGAAAATTTACCAAATCTTAAACGGAAACATTGTATCTTAGGTCGCAACCGGTAATCTGCTGCAATTTTCTAATCTCTTGAACCTTTACGATAGTATAATCTCTTTCTCCCTCTGTCGATTGCCGTTGTTGGGTCGAAGTAACAGACTGTTGCTTCTTGAGTTCATTACTCCTTTAAAGTCTTATTCCTTTACCCTCTTAGAATTCCCCACAGAGATTTCGCTAAAACAAAATGTATTCAATTTTATATAAAAGTACCTCCAGGGTAAGCTATATTATGGAATGTAAAGTTATCTCGTATTTATGCTTGGGTTTCAAGCTGCTCCAGTTTATAGATGCTATGTACAAATTAAATAACCTGTATTCAAAAATACGAAAAAACACATAAAAAAATTTTAAAGGACCTGTGTACAAACAAATCTCTTGTAGAACTAGGTTTCCCTACAGGATTATTTCCAGAAAACAAAACATGAGTGATTGAAAGAAATCCTGGATGCTAAACAACCCATGTACAAAGAACGATTTGTTCAACCGTTATACCATTAATGTCGGAAATAATGAAGCGGACTCTTATGAGTGAAGCGGTGATGTCGACTGGGGAGTCCTAAGGCGCGAATGCCTCATTCTCCCCCGCTTTAGTAGCCTTCCATTTGTATTGGCAAAAGAGGTGAAGACAGATGTTATAAAAAATCCCTGCACCTCATATTAGAGAGGCTTTCTGGCAGACAGCGAAACAAATTGTTCCTGTCTGTTATTACTTTGGTTACCTGACTCTAGCGGAGAGGGTCGCAAAGGAAGACAGTTTTCTTTTGCAATCCGGTCGTTCACCAATTACCTCCACGCTGGCCTTTTCAGTCGAATTCATTTTCGACATTAATAAAAAAAATCTTGATTAAAACTGAATTTCTTTCGATTTCGAATTTTTTTTTTTTTTTGCATCTCTTTATTCTCTGGTAAATGTTTATATCCTAACAAAGGTTTGATTCATTCAAAACTCTGGTGTAATGGTAAGATAATGTCGCGTTTATTCTATATTTATGAGTTTTTAATTAAAAAACTAAAACAATATATAGGGGCCAGGTACGACCATAGGGAAAACGTGATATTATATCTGTGAAAAACTTGTGTAAATGCGAGGTTTTGGTGAAAGTCAATATTCGAGCGGATTGGTTAGTAATTATGCCTAACCAGTAGCGGACAGAGGGTGTGTGAAGAAGAGAGAGGGGGGTAGTTACGGACGGGTTGCTTCAGCCTCAGGGGAATTGTGCCCAGCTAAACCGGAAGCAAGTGACCAATTGATACTTATGGTCTTGGTACGAGGAGGATTGTGGGAAGCGGTTAGACTCCTTATAAAATTCGTCCTCCGTACTATCAGACTTTTTTTTTTATGGCATGGGGTGCGTTTTTTAGCCCCCCCCCCCTTGAGAGAATGCGGTATTGTGGTGTATGGAGGATTGAGTGGTGACGAGCGAGTTTTTATCGTGAATGTGGAAATTGAGTGAATGGGTCGTGAATCGGATTAGCTAGGTACAGGATAGTTAGTGTTGACCAGCCTCAACCCCTCCCCATTTTAGGCCATGTGCCGCACTTATATTTTTTTAATACAATATCGACTTTTTTGTCTACCAGCCGACGCGTGAATGGTTAATTGTCGTGCTGAAAGATTACTTTTTTTTTTCTTTTCCGATACTAGACCTAGATGGAGCGGGTCGCAAGAGGACTCCTCCTTTTGCAACACTTACCAGGCTGTTGCTGCTCTCTTCTGGGTTCCCCCTCTATTTTTTTTCAACAGGTGCGACAGCCTGGACATCCAGTCAAAAAGCGAAATAAAAGTTTATATTTAATTTGAATGTTTCATCTGTTTTTACATATTTAAAATTTCTTGGTACTGGACACCTTGGGTCTTAGAGACATACAATCAAGGAGTTGGCCTTGGGCTTCACCAAAATTCTGCACGTCACTGTGTCTAGCTAAGTTAGTAATAGGACAAGTGATTACAAAAGATACTTACGTCAAGGCAGCCATGAATATCAGTTTTATAGATATTTAAAAAAAATGTAAACTTAAATAGGAATAAATAAGACCCACGTTTTTCTGTTAAATAAAATATAGGCACTATCACAAATAAAAGGTTTTCCAAGTAAGTTCAAGAGCTCCGAACGAGGACAGCGATTTGCTTCTGGTGTTACATTGAAAAATTACATTACTGTACGAATTTCAAACGTTTTTGCAAATTATATAAATCTAATTTAATTACCTCCAGTTTTACAATTATGCTTTTGATACTTTATTCTAATTGACCTGATTAAAATAATTGATTCTTTGTTATTCCGAAGATAAGTAGTAACATATAAAACATTTCATAGGTAACTCACGTAGGGGCGCGCCAAAATTGTGTTCCGGTTTGCAGAAAATAATATAGGCAGAAGTGTCATTTACCTGAACGCCATCAAAGAAACGAGAAGAGAAAACAAAGCATTGTGGGTAATAACTGTTCATATAAGGGAGAGGGTGATTTATTTATTTTCCTCTGTTACATTGTTTTTTGTTTTTTTTTTTAGAATACCAAGCAAGCGTTGTGATTGCTAGAATTAAAAAGCAGAAATGGGAGCGGTGAGTTACCCTCCAGTGGAAGACCGCAAGGAGTTAAAGGCTAAAGATTCAATTCTTCACCACCAGCTCACTTCTGGGGCAGGAAATTTACCCAGACGCCCCACCAAAGAAGGTAGTGACAAGGTGTGATTTTCATTTTATATTATAACGTGGGGAGCCCATATACATGTACGTACATGGACCAAGGACAAAAATTGCCCAGTCCACGCAACCACTGGTACGCTAACGTCCATATTACACATACCCTATTCCTCTTAGTGTAATGCGGAAGGTACTGGCGCAAGGTTGAAATCCTATGGGCTGGACGCCACCTCTCATCTGAAATAAGGTGATTACTTCACTTCCGGCCAAAAGCAAACTCTTTCGCCAGAGAAGTGTAAAGAATTGGTAAGTATGCACTATTTTCCATTATTTACTTTTCGACCACAAATCTTCGGGCGCTGGGAACTCATGGTACACCAACGAAAACGCGGCAATAACACTTTATTTTATGTACAAAATATTTGATAATGTTAATTAATGAGGACTTATTTATTTGAGACAATTACAGTATCTTTCCATTTAGCGAAGATACAGAAGCACATGTAAATGATAGAGCGTTTAAAATTTTAAAGAAAAACGATTTAAAAATTTGTCAAAATGTATCTTAATATTTCTGTGGTTGAAGAGAAAAATAAAAATGTACTGCCTCGCACAGGATTAGAGCTCACAACCGTCAGTCAACCAACTAGAGGTTTCAGCTTTGAATGGAGATGTCACTCTTGTTATAAGATCATCCAGTTGTGTGGAGAAATTGACTGTTGGTCAGGCGGGAAAGGAGAAGTGTACTTACCTTGTGTTGTTGAACCCCTTACAAAACAAACATAAAAAAAAAGGTTGTTGATATCTTTAATAACCTTTTATAGTTATAGTGGTCACGTTACAGGGTTACCACATGATCCCTGAAGTTGCATAAAAGGAGAGGAAATCTATAATAATATATATTATTACTTTCCATTGGGATTTTTTTTTTGGGGGGGAGGATTATTACTAACCTTGTTCTGTTTTCATGTAAATGAGTAATAATTCATATTGTAAATAATCATTGTGTTTTTTTTTTTTAATTGTTGTTTTATCTCCCCTGCCCAACAGACTTTGAAATGTACATATGGGGACTAGTTAGGATTTCATAGCGACATTGAGGTATTATGGTGGATGTAGTAAGAAAGGTAGGTAAGAATGTCTTGTTTTGATGTTAGGACTATTGTTGGTATGTTTGGGTCAGTGTTTGTGGTTTAAGTTTAAAGTTAAGACAGAAGAAGACCGTCTTTTTTCCCAATCCCCTTTTTGGCCTTGTGCCACATTTTGTACCAACGTACAAATAAATATCTATTATTAACTTTCATGGACACCCCGAGGCAGTGTAATGGTTAGCAAGCTTGTTTCGCTAGAACACTGAGTAGTGAGTTCGATCCTCACTGGGTGCCTCATGCTTTCACCCTTGTGCCACATCCGTGCTACACTTGGAAAATCACTATCACCTTCCATGCAACCAAGTTATCAGGTTGGTATACGTTTACGGAAAACGGCAGTGTATTTTGCAACTTAAAGTCGGTGTCATTGTTTTGTTTTTTTGTTTTTTTCCCTCGACCTGACCAGTCTCTGTTCGTTTGTGGGGCTGGGAAAGTTTTCTTGACGATGGATCTCGGTAAAAACCAGTTTTCTCTGTATAGTCAATTTCTTTTTTGTATTATGCTTGGAGACCGTTTGTCATATTTAACAGTTGACACCATCCAAGGCAAGATATTTCACTTTCAGTAAATAGTCACTAACAGCCTCTTTCGTTGTGTTTCATTTTATTTTTAACCAGCTCATTGAAGGTCGCTATGTGATTCCGCTGACTGGCCATAAACCACTATGCCAACACTTCCGCATGTTAAACCGATGAAATTCTTATCGCCAGCAACAGTATCCATCAATAGATACAGAGTATATTTTTTATATATTGCTGCAGCACTTTTTTTTTTTTCAGAGGTGGGGAGTAACCCACATCATATATCACCTATTAAATATAATATCTGGTTGTATCTTGTGACAGGCTTTTATGATACTTTAGCAAAATCCCTCAAAGGGGAATGCTAAGAGAGGGTAAAGGAATAAGACATCTTTAACCAACCAAAGATTTTTGCTCGATTGCAAAAGAAAAGAGAAAACAAAAAAATCAGAACGAGCAGAGATTGAGAAAGACTATTACTTAATTTAAACTACAATTTCTAATTTGGAATTTCGTGGTTGTAATGTGATTACAGCAGTACTTTTATACCCTGATATACTTTTCCTATGTGTTGTAAGCGATCATGGCTCTCTACGACTTCCTAGTCTTCGTAGCTCCGTTTGCCCTTCCATTTTCTGTTCTGCCACAAGCTCTTTATGTAGGTTACTCGATATTTCGCTTTACCCTTATCTTCAATATGCTCTTTTTAGTGTCAAATTCTCCAAGCCGGCTTTCCTCATGTATCCTAGAAAGTTGAAATGTCTCTTTCTAGTTTTGTATAATTGTCTTTAAAAAGGTTAATGAATTGAATTTTTTTTCCATACCACAAATATTCTAAGAGTTTACATAGATTTTGGATTTTAGTGTTAATTTTTTTATTGTAAATTTATTCGCAATTATGCCAAAAATGGGGCTACCTCCTTTTGCCTGTATAGAATTACTTCCAACTGTACTATCAGATTATCTAGTTTTGAAAACAACCGCTTCCATAATATTGTACAACAACTTTGTGGTGTACCAGCCTACCCCACCCCCAGTTCGCCCACTTGAAGTCCCTATCAGTATACTGCTGGTGCAGAATTACAATAAATGATAGATGGGATAAGTATTCCTGTTGGTTTCTTTTCCAAAAACAGTTGACACCATCCAAGGCAAGATATTTCACTTTCAGTAAATAGTCACTAACAGCCTCTTTCCTAGTGTTTCATTTTAACCAGCTCATTGAAGGTCGCCATGTGATTCTGCTGACTGGCCATAAACCACTACGCCAACACTTCCACGTGTTAAACCGATGAAATTCTTATCGCCAGCAACAGTATCCATCAATAGATACAGAGTATATTTCTTATATATTGCTGCAGCACTGTTTTTTTTTTCAGGAATGGGGAATAACCCACATCATATATCACCTATTAAATATAATATCTGGTTGTATCTTGTGACAGGCTTTTATGATACTTTAGCAAAATCCCTCAAAGGGGAATGCTAAGAGAGGGTAAAGGAATAAGACATTAGTAGATGGAGGAGTAACGAAATCCAAGGAGCAACAATCTATTACTTTGGCCAAACAATGGTAATCGACAGAGGGAGAAAGAAATTACACCCTACCTCAAAGGTTCAGAGAGATTATAAAGATTGCAACAGATTGCCGATTGTGACTTAGAGGAGGATTTCCCGTCTAAGGTTGGTAAATTTTCCGATTTAGAAAAACTACCATATAGATATAAGTAGTGAATCCACTGGAGAAGGAACAAATCTTAAAAACTGGCTGTTTTTAATAAGATTACAAAATGTCATGTGACCCTCGTAAATCACATGATGCCCCAAATTTATATGAACAGTAAAATAAAAACAATCAAAAGTAAGACAGATGTCCTCCCTTTCTCGCTAATAGTTGTGAAGGTAAGTTTGTTTTTCTAAGTTCTTGTTCTGGATAAAAGGAGGAATTATCTACCACTGGGGCAGGTAGAGCTCTACTGAAAATATGAGCACCACATATTGAACGAACTACAGACTCTGACAATTTGAAGGAAGTGCATGTAGTTTAAAGTGTGACAAAAAAAAAACTTGTTTTAGTATTATACATTAACAAGTTTTGGTGGTTGTTGCATAAAAAAATAACTACAACTTTGAAAATATCCCAACTTTAAAAAATGAAGAACATTACATTGAAATTGGGAAGATATTTGAAGATATAGCAGTTGTTTACAGATTGCTATCACCCTGGAAATTGATATGGTCTCCTTCTGAATCAATATATCCCCTCACTCTACATCAGTTCAATTTTCATAAGGTGGTATTCATATATAAATTTTATCGTAACCTAATTATGTATAATAATGGATTACAAGCAATATTGGTGAACAATTCAACTAGAAAAAAAAAATGAAAATAGATACAATGTATCTAAATACAAATTTGAAACCTGTCATAATAGATCATTCCATCTTAATAGATCGATGTTTTACGGCAATTTTTAACATCAACTTGAGATTTTTCTTGTCAAAAAGTTGAATAATTTAACATGTTTAATATTATGCATAAAAATAGTGAATTTTATTTAGTGTTTTCAAGACTTAGCATGAGGAAAAACAAATCCACAGATTTTGGGGGGAAAAAAATGACGTCAAAATCTGAAAAATTTTCTTCCTTTAATAGTCAGTTGTGCTTAGTTTAATTTATGTATGTGTGCGTGGATATATATATATATATATATATATATATATAACTGATTTAAAATATGGTTTTTTCGCTACACAGTAATAACCATGTTTTAAAAATGGAAGCTAAAAACTTTAAAATTAATTTTGTAATTAAATTAAAAACATTAGTCCTATTTCATCCTCAAGCGAATTTTGGAGTAACTCATTTTTTAAATTTACTGAGTTTTAACTGTAAAAGAAATTCATAATTTATTCATGCTCTGTAAATCTACTTTGTAAAAAAATAAAAATATCAATAAGAACACCGGTTTACATATCTTACTGTTCTTTCTTTCAGCAAATGTTAATAAAATAGCAATGCTCACAAAGCACTGCTTGGAGGCCCCCAGTCACGCTTGGCTCCCCACCACCGTTCAGGGGGTTTCAGTGGTAGTATGCACCGGGTTTCCTTCATAAAATGGAATCAGGTGCAGCAGTTTATATTTTACTGGACATGGCCAAGTGCTTAGAATGTTTGCTTTCCAACTATAAGACCTAGGTTTGAATATCAGTGTGTCAACTTGTCAGAAAGATGACTTGATATTCTTGGTCTGTAGAGGCAATTCCAGCTTGAGGGACATACCACAGGTCGACCCACACCTTGTGAATGGAATTGGGTAGGTGGAACTATTCAGGAGCTGTCAGTGGTTGAGGGAGCACAAAGTTGCAAGTCATCATGACTGAGGGTTGGAGTGTACTGGACTTGTTCAGACTGTTGATCATGTCTGATAATGCACTCTCTTATAAAGTGCAACTAAGGTCCCCTCAGCATAATTGCAGTATAAACCACAGGTGGGCTCTACAAATGTTGAACAAACATAAATGTGCTTGAGCAGGCGTTTGCAATAGGGATTGACTAACCATCCTAGCAGACAGTTGGATACAAGCAGCAAGCCATTACATTACTGGACATGAGTGGTTGTGTTACAGATCTAACACTGAAGGACATTTCACAGGTAAATTAGTACGAAAAAATACTGATAACACAGACCACACTGTTTTCGAAAGACCCAGACACATGGCCTTTTATTTCATAGGTCATCATATATAAGTATAACACATTTTTAAAAATAAAGTTTGAATATTTATATAAACTTTGTAGTTGGACCTTAGCAGATATGAGCACCAGATATTGAATGAACTCTACCTACAGTCTTCGACATCTTTGACTAGCAACAGTTTAATAATAAATTAAAGCCTTCACTAATTTTAAATGGTAATATCTGTTTCCTTATAAGGAAACATTTGGTATTCATTGATCAAGCAGTCAGTGTTACTGTCAGTTGAAATTTATAAAATGTTGGTCTTAAAAATAATTTTTCAGTGAAATAGTTTTCAGTTCAATTCCAGATTAGTTTGTTTTGGAAAGGTTTATCTAGAGTTCTTGGCATACTTGGAAGAGGATGATTTTTTTTTTTTTAAGGTCATTCTTATCCCAACTCTAAATATTTATATCATTGGGATAACCCATCTATGATTTGTATGATGATAGGTTTGCATTTTCCTGACGATATCATGAAAATTATAGTAAATGAAATCTCCAGAGCTCTTATATTTCAATCTATTGAAACATCAAAGGCTAACAAAGTAAAAAAAAAAAAAATTTTGGAAGTTATTTGTAATACCCATTCTCTCTCCATCCACTCTTTTTTTTTCTCTGATCTTGAAATATTCTTTTTTCTCATTTACTGTCATGTTCTCTCTCTTTAAGTGTGAGTGTCAGATCTTCTCTTTTTCTCTTATTAGCACAGTCTTTTACTCTCACCCTCATATCTTTTTTTCTGTCATTCACACTCTCACTCTTTCTCTCACGCTCAAATCATTATCATCCTCACTTTTTACCATCATACTGCACTCTCTTTCTCTTTCAATATCAGTGTATTTCTCTAACCAACATCCACATTTTCTGTCCATCATTCTCTCATCTTCTTTCCACCTTATTATCATCTCTTTCTCTGCCTCTTCATGAAGTTTTCATTTTTCTCCGTTATTCCCCCCCTCTCTCTCTCTCTCAATGA